AGGTATACTTCAGAAACCTCATATTTTTACCCCTTCCCCCCTCCCGTTAGAACTATTCAGAAAGTTATGGCACCAACCGCATTTTGGGGTCCAAATGATGAACTGGCCTGTTGTAAATTGTCCTAATATGAGCTAGAAATTCGACCATGGACACAACCATTTTGAATTTACTTAGCAACCTGGCCGCTTACATGTGGCTCAGGAAAATCTTACTACTTTGGCGATTGGTTTCAACCAATAGACTAGCATCTAATTTCTCCTTACAATATCACCCCAAAATCACACGTAGGGGTCACAAGAAAAAAGGAAATTGTCACGAATAATAGAAGCTCTAGATTGTTAAACCAATTCTCCTTGTCAGCACCTTAAGGAATGTATTGTGAACAGTATGGAGAATATGCATACTGATGTTAGGGTGTAAGGGGTTAATGCAAAAAAGCAGATAATCAGTGCAACAGCTTTTCAGTGGTCAACTGCCGGTTTAAGTCACTATTTGGAATCTCAAACCGTGACAAGAAGCAAACTTTTATAAGTTTTTTTAATGCTCGGGATAACATTTCCAAATCTACTGCTTCTCCGGCACTGGCTTGATTCATCTTGCTTTTATTCCATTCTGTAGAAATTCTTTTGATGCTGCCAAAGTTTCCAGGTGGAACGAGGTCGTTAAGATGTTGACAGCGGATAAGACTTTAAGCACTATGGCTGTTCGCCGTTTCCTTCAAGAAACAGGTTGTCCTAAATGTTACATAGAGAATGCTGAGTATCTTGAGAAATTTGACCCGCACGGAATTTACCCCACCACCATATATGGAAGATGTAGTGGCGAAGTTCTTGCTAAACCAGACGCATCAGTTGTTGCCATCACCAGTAGATATACTTTAACGACTACTGCCAAGATAGTTTATGACGTTCTGAACCCAACCAATCCAGAGCTGAGGGCTGTATATCAACCCATCGGAAGGTTTGTCTCTCACTTTCTAATCAGGAGCTTAATTTATGTGCACAATCTATTGTGGAAGGGAAGTTTAAATTGGAAACAGATACTTTCTTTGGCGTTTAATAGTTCTTCGAAATTGATTTTTAGGAGGGTTTCCTGGGGGGAACGTTCTTCATTTTCTGTAAATTTTTGTCAAGCGGTTGTTTGGTCAGACGTTTGGTAGGTCGGTCAGTCAGTCAGTCAGGCAGCTAGTTTGACAGTAAAATTAATTAATTCATTTATACAGTCCTGACTCATTTTCCTTTTGTATCATTTACCTCATTCCCAGGTGGCTACATTTACTACGTTTTCAAACAGTTTGACCTCGCGTACTTACGCACCCGATGAGTCAAACCCAACGAAAAGCCACGGTAATATCACTGGTAGTCTTTAAAAACTATGAGTGTCAGCCGTTTCCTTCAAGAAATAGGTTGCCTTACATGTTACATGAAGAATGCTGATCTACCCTTCACTCATATGTGAAAAATGCGGTAGCAAAGGCCACTTACAGTCTTCGCGCTAATCTCTTTTATTCTTTTGGAACTTTACACTATCCTTAGACTAATCTCTTGTCCTTGTTTTTTCCCCGATAACCAGGTGCGTGACAATCATCGATAAAAACGTGGAAAATATCTATGGTACAGCTATACAGGCCTACTTTGACGAGCACTCTATCGAGTTGATCAAGCTGGTCACCTCCGCGGAGGAAATTGACAAAGACATCACCAACTTACAGGATGTCTTGGTGCAGCTGAAGACATTGGGGGTTAGACGAAACGAGCCTCTGTTGGTAGTCGGCAATGGTGTATTACACGACGTTATTGCGTGTGCAGCCTCCCTCTACCATCGTAACACACCCTACGTGATGCTATCTACAAGTGTCGTGGCCGCCATCGACGCTGGACTATCACCTCGCACAGGTTGTGATGGATTCGGTTTCAAAAACCTCTTTGGCTCCTATCATCCTCCTGTTCTGGCACTGACTGACAGAAGCTTTTTCCGCACATTAAAGCTCGGTTGTATGCGTCATGGCATTGCTGAGATAGTTAAGATGGCGGTTGTTAAGGATGAAGAACTCTTTTGCCTACTTGAGCAGAACGCCGCAGTAATTTTGTCGACCAAACTTGGCACAGTGATGGAGGATTTTGAGGGAAATCACGCGGCTTTTCAAGATATCTGTGATCTTATTGTTGGCAAAGCTCTTGAAGAGTAAGTGTGGCTACAACTTGTTTTGTTTGTCTGTGTCTATGATCGACATGAGTCCTCTTTCAGGAATAAAAGGAGAAAATTCATTGCAGTCTCCTATATGATTCATCTTTTTTTTCTAGCGTAACTAGCAGAGACGTCGACGCCCTTGGAATGTGTGCATTCATTCAACAAAATTAAACTGCGAATCCCTATGTAAATTCTAACTGAAAAAGAAAAAATTGTTTGAACCATTTTTAATAATTGTTTTGCTAACTATTCACAATTAACAGGCTCTTATCAAGAAACAAAGGCATACTTTACTTTTTGCATTTGTTGATTTTTTTAGCTATCTATTTACTTATTTTATCTTTTTTGATTTCTAGCTACATGAGATCGGAGTACGGTAACATGTTTGAGACGCATCAGTGCCGACCGCACGCCTATGGTCACACATGGAGTCCCGGTTATGAACTCCCTGCTGGAATGCTTCACGGTCATGCTGTGGCAACTGGGATGGGCTTTGGTGCATATCTCTCTTTCTGTAACGGCTGGATCACACAGCACGAGTTCCATCGGATTTTAAAGCTCCTCAGCGACCTTGAGCTGTCCTTGTGGCATCCTGTCATGGAGGATACGCAGCTAGTTTACAAAGGCCAGAATACCATGATCCAAAAGCGGGCTGGTAACCTTGCTGCACCGGTACCTAAAGGGCTTGGCAAGTGCGGCTACATCAACGACATGCCTTACGATCTCCTTGGCAAGCGCCTGGGTGAATATCGGAAAATTACCCTGGAGTACCCCCGACAAGGGATGGGAATTGAAGTCCACTGCATGGATATTGGAATCGCGTGTCCAAAAGTGGGGAACCTGAGCAGCAAGAACAACAACAACGGCGAGGCTCACAATGGTGTAGTGATGTCGAGCAACCTTCATTGCAACGGGGAAATCAAGGAGCATAGGAAATCCTCAAAATTGACAAAGCCCGCACCTTTGGAGCAACGCGGATGAATTTAAACCCTTTTATGGTAATGGTAATTACTATATTGTAAGCAACGTCCAAGGGCAATATGAAGCAAATCCTGCGTTTTGATTAGGTAACTGAGTGGGCAAGCTGAGCGAGCAAGATGGGTCCATCTTGCCCGCTTTGATCTCGCAAAAGGAAAAAATTGCTTGTAGCAGACTAACAAAGTTCGTTATTTTTGGACAATGACAGCTATGGAGGCGCAAAAGCAAGCAAAGGACAGTGAAAACAAAGAAAACTTAACCGAATCCGGCTCGTGCGTTTATTGTGCTACTAACACAATTGGCTTTGTTCCCGGTTTATTGTTGTTTCCAAGTCATTGTTGATTCTCATCAAAGCAAGATGTTTTGGCTGCATAATAAATTCCCTATTGAGTTAGCTAGTTTGGTCAAGATGCCTGAATATAAGCCTCGTCCTCACAAAAAGAACTCGGCTAATATCCAGCCATCTTTGGTCACGCTTGGTTTCGTGAAAAGCAGTGGGCTTCTGGGTAAATATATATATATATATGTAGCTGACAAGCATTTCAAGGATGCCAAGCATTTAGTTGCGTTGGGTGGGTCAAATAACTTAGTTTTACATGTAATCGATCACTTATAGTGAGCATCAAATTAATCATGCTGATTGCAGTTTTAAACCTGTTTTATTTTGTAGATTCTGACGAGGCCACATAGACTGGATCAGGATCCAAACTTTTTTTGCAGCATTCTTATGTAATCACTTGTGTGTGCACTTTATTCTCTTTACGTCACGCGGGTTGTCGTGACTGCCTATAGCCAATAAAAAACATAATTTATCATATCTCCTTGACTGCGCGTTATCACTCGGGCTTTCCAAGGGAAACGCGCGAGGTTAAATTTTGGTTTTTCGATTTTCAGTAACAAATCGCACTAATACCCGTAAAGTGCATGCGTGTAGCTAACCAAAGCGCATACGTGGGATTGAAAGAAAATGGTGTTGTTGGAAGTACGAATATGGTGTGTAATACGCTTAAACCACTCAAAATGCACACTCTGTTCGAAGAAAACCCACGCTTAAAGATGTCAAGCGTTTCAGTAAACCTGAGTGGATGGAGTGATAAGAATTATTGAAAATAGCTGTCAAGTCCGGCCGCTTGCTTAGATGACCAAGGCGGCTTTTTTCATTCCTTTTGCTCCATCCTTGTAGACCCGTATTAGCTTGGTTAGAGAAGGGTGGACGCATGGCCCATGACAAGTGGAAGCATTTTTCTCTATGGAAGCAAGTTGGAAAACGGAATCTCATGGGTGCAAATAAGCCCCACCTGGTTACCCACCCAAATATCCAATGGGTACAAGAGTCAGTCGTAAAGAGTCGTAAAGCCAGGTAGGAAGAGCTCCTTATATTGATCAGATTTTTCAATAAATGACTTTAAAAAAATCTTCCGCGACAACATATTCAGGGGGTTCAATCGGGGCACTTGCAGGCTATGACACACCCGCTTAAAAGCAGTAAATCGAAATCTTTTGATCTTCTTCATATCAAGCAAGGTCTTTGACCCTTTAACTTCCACGAGTGACCAAGACAGAATTTCTCCTTACAATATCAGTACAATATCAACCAGATAAGTGTTAAGAATAAAGAAAAAGACCCATTTGGGGACAATTAGTTGCTCCAATACCAAATTCTCTGAATTAACATCATAAGAATTGTATGGTTGACAGTAAGGAGAATTAAAAATTTGATCTGGGAGTTAAAGGGTTAAGTTAAGAGGAGTTTGTTAGTTTAGCGAGCAAAATCGGTGCAGCGGTTGAAGACACTTCGCCGATACTTACATCTTTATTTTCTACAACGCTTCGTTGGGTTTTACTAAGTTTTTTTCTGGCATTTTCATATCAAGGTAAATACAATCATGAAGTTAAAAGAGGCTCGTTTACTTAGCAAGCGAATTCATTGCAGGTGGTTAAAGTGTTTGCCATCAATTCCACTTTCTTGTTCCGCTCCGCTCTATTGCGTGTCATCGGATCAGTTTTGTTATTGGGTCTTGTCAGGTTTTTTTCACAGCCCCTCTGTTTTTTTTTTCTCCCTCCATTTACAAATAAATTAAACCAAATAGAAATTCGAAGTTGTCTCTGCTCTGGAATGGCTATTTTGTAGATATGCGACTAAAATGACACTTGTTTTTGTTCCAATTTGGAGGTTTGCCGTAAATGTAAATTTTCCCAAGGCGTATTTTAATCTTAAAATTGTTTATTCAGTAATCAGGCCAGTTGACAATTTACGAAAAGAAAAAATTTAATTTTGATGCATATCGAGTTTTTTTTTCATATGTTACCGGAAAAATTCCCGACGATAGTGTTTTTCTGTCATCTTACTGTCCCAAGTAAATCATCGTCGTGAGAATCGTGAGAAGTCTACCTTAGATGTTAGCGCTTATTCATCAAAAGCCAGAGGGCAAAGTGAAATTTGATTTTGAATACTCCGAGAATATTCTGATAACTTATATACACAACTCGGGTTTACCCACCGCACCAATTACAACCGTGGTCCAGTGCGGGTGATTTTGTTGCTGCTTTCTTTTTCCGGCTTCTATGTTCCATAATGTTTCGCATGGATTTTTTGCTAAGTCTCCTCTCATCCCTAATGATTATTTACGCAAGTTATGCGATATCGCTAATATTGTTTCGTAGAATTCCAATTTTAGTCAGGGCCCGCTTTCCGCACTAACGGGCTAGACTAAATTTGTCCCGACAAAATCAGAGGACAAATTTTGTCATGAAACATTTTCGTTTCGTCTGTTGCATCCACATGGAAAATTTCAAGGCTGTCAAATTCCGTCAACGTCTGATCTGTTCATACTACCGGTCAGCCTAAATTGCCGAAGAATTCCAGCTCCAATTTACAGGATTTACTCTAAGTCGTTTTAAAATTTTAGAATTCCCGAGATTTGCAGCAAAAGATAATTTTGCCTTTCTAGTAAACTGGTTTCAGTTCAATCACACGCTTGTCGTAGCTTTCATGACAAATGATTGACAAAGTTATCACGGTTTTGTTTAGTTCGTCGATTTTGACAAGTTTTTCCCCGGCACAAACTTTGTCGGCGGTGCATTTGAAGATTTGTACTATTCGGCCAAAATTTGTCAAGTCGCGACAACCCATCCGCACTTGTGAAATGTTAATGATGACAGAAAGTTTTTCTTGAAAAACAACTTTTTCGCTAGTGCGGAAAGGCCCTCATTGAAAGGAGCCAAAATCGAACATTTTGATAGGCAGTTTGTGCATAAGGTTCTAAGACAGGTGTTTAAATTATCTTTAATAGTCTTTGTTAATGACGCTTTTACAAGTGACTTTTCACGCAATTTGAATTAGAAAATCGTTTTCCTAAGCTTCGAGAGTTTACAACTGTATGCTCTGTTGGTCCTTTTCAAATCATCACTCTCTTTTTTCTTTTTCCTGACCTAATTGTTAAGTATCCTGGAGACCAAAGTTTCTTCTCCAATTTCAAACAATTTAAATACAAGTTGTAACTTTAAACGGTTGAAACTACCGTAATGGCTCGGTTTCCCTTTGAATTTAATGGTTCTACGACCACTTGCGAGCGACAAAAGGTGCAGCGAATAATTTTTAGATATTCCCTCCGAAAGTTCTTATTCATCACTCCATAAATGATAGGGTTTAGAGCACTGCTTATTGTGGCTAAAAAACTGTATGCTACGTAAGCTTCTCGAGGTAGTGACCAGCTCCCACGAATCGTATCCAGAATGTCTATCAGCAAAACTGGAGTCCAACACAGGTTAAAAAAGACAACAATTACAAACAGCGTGCGGGTTATTTTGATTTCTTCTACGTTGACCGTGTTAGATGACTCTTGTGTGGTTTGGAAGTTGTTGTTATGACTACGCACAGTTTGGAATATTCTTAGATAGCAGAAGATTACCACACAAGTTGGTAATCCTACGTACACAGTTACTAAAAATGCTGTAAAAGGACCGCTATCGATCTGAAGATAGCAGAAGAACTTAGCAGGATGAAACACCATCCTATAGCCGTTTAAGAGATACGGCAATGGAGCCCACATACAATAGAACCATGAGGCAAGAATCATGATTTGGGTTTTCTTCTCGGTGAAGTAACGGCGATATTTTGCCGGGCTAACGATACGGAAATATCGATTTACTGCTGTCAATGCTAGCGTCTGTGTTGAAGTCACAGCCAAAGTTATAGCGACGTATCCCTGGTACTGGCATGTTGTGTCGTTGAAAGGCCACCGAGATTTGACCAATGCAGTGAAAGCAATAGGACCCGCTGAAAGTGCCCCCAACAAGAAGTCGGAAACGGCAAGAGAAGCAACGAACATGTTTGGGATTGTCCTCATTCTGTTGTTGAACGCAATCACAAAAAGAGTGGCAAAGTTTCCAACAAACAACATCAATAAAATTAAGGCATAGAGCCCCGACTCAAGCACAACAGTGAGTTGGCTTCTTGAATTCAATTCATTCAACATTTCTTGTAACTGTTGCTCTGCCAGATCCATTCTTTCAAAAAATTTGTAAAGCACGCCGAGTCTTAATATTTACTTCTGTCCACCTCTTAGCTCCCGTTGTTAATGTAATTTATTGAATTTAGCCAATTCGTAATTCTGCATCGATTCTTGGCAAGTGATTACATACATGTTGCGTCGCAATATCCAATCAGATTGCTCCAACCTTATTAAAGATGTCTTTTTCTGATTGCTAAAACGCGATTGCTAGTCTTTTGAGTAAACTATCGGGCAGGTACCATTTTATGGTGAATACTATACAACATTTAGTCTTTATTTCTTAATATTTAATTTGATTTTTTTAACCTTTACTGTTTTAGAAATCAAATCTAATGGCGAACGGAATTCCTTGATATAAGCAAAGTGTGTTAACATCAATAAGATCAGATTAAGTAAAACACATTAATGCAACAAATCAGTATAGGCGATAAATAAACCGATTCTGAGGAAATCTATTTTTAATGATATCGTTTCGTTTTGCAGTCAAACGGCGGTAAACGGTACTGAAAAAAGAGAAAAAGAATCAAATGGAATCCAAAAAAAAAAAAAAACAGTACATGATAAAGATAGAAATTAGAAAAAAAGGAAAAAAAATAGCGCAATTCAGACTAATACATTCGCATTTATGGCTTTTTATTGTTCAAAATGGTTCCAAGAGTTTACTGTAAGGACTGATGGTAGTTCAGGTTTCACTTAAATACAGAAGGGTTGTGAGAACTTCTTCTTCATACATGTTGAATTTCGTACGCATCTCAATGTCGTGTTCATCCCATGATCTACGTCAAACTTGAAAATACTCAAAATTCGGTCATTTTTCGTACGAAAGTCATTTTCTCTAGAGATTTTCTCAAAACCTTTATTACCCACGAAAAATAAACGCACGGCAAATGGCAGATTAATCTTTTCTCTGACAAAATCCGATTTAATTCGAAAGTTGGCCGATGAGAACCTTTATATGAATAACAATACATCAGCCTTGAATAACAATACACCTGTCAAACTAAACAATGCCCCTCTTGAAACTCATCCGCTGGAAAAATCATTCGCAATCGCTGCGAATTTTATTGCTGCTAGGTGCATCAGCTGTCAAACCTTTGCTTAACAGACTGAGTCATAGTGGCGTGCATCGAATAGCAAACTGTTAGTGATCGGGAGCTCTTTTCAGAGCTCGCTGTATCTCCGATCGCCCAGCAATCTGTATGCGATCGGGAGCTCCTTTCAGAGCAAACTGAAACCCTTATCATCCCACCAACTTTTAGAGATCGGGAGCTCTTTTCAGAGCTCACTGAATCTCTAATAGCTTAGCAATCTGTATGCAATCAGGAGCTCCTTTTCAGAGCATGCTGAACCCCCGAGCATCCCGCCAACTGTTAGAGATCGGAAGCTCCTTTCAGAGCTCACTGAATCTCCGATCGCCCAGCAATCTGTATGCAATCTGAATGAAAGTGATCCTCGCAGTAATGTGCACTACTTGAGCAGTAGTGAAAATAAGGCCTTTTTTCATAATGACCAGCTCCTAGTTGGCTTTTTAGCTCAGTTGGTAGAGCGCTGCACCGGTATCTCAGAGGTCATGGGTTCAAATCCCGTACAGGCCTGAATTTTTCTCAGGCCTGTACAACTTGGATACCGACTCGCGGAATCTGGTCGCGAACGCGTGGGGCATGCAGTAGCGCAAGGAGCACGGAGATTATGGTCAGATCAGTTAGCCTCAAACGGCAAAAACAGGAAACAGGTGAAAGATGAGACGTGGATTTAGGTGTCGCTTCAACCTTACGAAATTGAAATTGGCGAGTTTGGTTACTCATTTGCAATAGTCAGACGTAACGGATAATTTTTTGGGGGTTTTAACTCAAGAATTCAGTTGACAAAGAGCCAGTGGGCGACAAAGGTGCTATCGTCCTTAATGAAGAAGTCACATATCAGCAGTGACACATTGTGACGCCATGATGAAGGATGAACAAACGCGTACCAGACTGAACAAATCACTATCTGATCGAAAATGTTTGTTTTTGAGCAGGAGACGTTCTGCTAGCGACTAGTTCGCTAACGTACTAGTTCGTTTCACCAACGTCTCAGGGCAGTTCGCCTTCCCTGTCAGAGGTCGTTTCGCTGACGTATTAAACAACGTTCTGGCAATTCCATCAGCAGAACTTGATCGTATTCTAATCGAACGAAAAGTCGTAAAGAAGTCTGAGAAGCCACGTTGTTTTTCTTCACTGCTTTAAAGGAAATACTTGGCTCTAAAAACTTCCTTTCGTCAATCTCGGAGGAAACAACTAATGGCAATGACCAGGATTTTAATACTTGTCGAGTGAAAAGAATATGAGGCTCCAAAACTATTGTCATTAAGTGGGTACTCGGACCAAACTTTGTCAAGTGCAAACAATGTCAGCTTGTATATAAATTAAAAAAAAAAAATACTCTCTATTGGGAACCAAGTCTCCTATTTTTCTTTTACCGTTCTGTTCTGAAATTATTGACGCACTGTAATAGGCAAGTGTAACCCAACCATTTGAATAAGAAGTAAACGAAAAATTTTCGCCAACTTAATGAAAACTACGGCGATAAAGAGGGTCAAATCACAGACGGGCCACTTATTTTTTATTCGCTCTTCCCGTCCGGCACCCTTCTTTTCCTCTTCTTTTCGACCGTCTTCGTTATGAAGCCCTCCGTGGCCTACCCGAGATACTGCATCGAACGCTCACAGACAGTTGCGGCAATAACGGAACAATCTAGTTCATGATTCCAGCTGGGCTTTAGGATTGTAGCGTCTTCGGTACTTAGGTCTTCCTAATGTCAGATTACATGCAAGAGAAATGCAATCACTGAGGTATGCAAAGAGAACTTCAGAGCGAAGAAAATGGACTAGGCGCTAACAAAATGCACTCTTTGTTGAGTTTTCTTTCATTTTCAATAATTATTTTATTTTTATTATTTAACAATACTTTGAGTCAAAAATGCATTTTGTCGTAAATTAGTCATGCCTGGCCCTTAAATACCCAGGATTTAGTCATCGAATGCATTGATGAAAGACAAAAGTCCAAGAATTACATTATGCTCTATTAAAAATTATTGTCTAAGTTTTTTGTTTCCCGTTTTTTTCTTCATATTTCTTTCTTTCTCTCTGTCTCCTCTTCACATTTCTTCAGTTTCAAAGTCGGCCAGGATGTCTCGGTCATCGTTCACCGCGTCACAGGCAGCCCTGGCGCGTGCGCATAACTGTCTCTTCACTTTGATGAGCTGAAACTGTAGGAAACAAAACAAGGATGATAAAGCGCATTTCGAACGAGTGACGGAGACCAAAACCAGACGGAAATAGCACCAACCAACAAGGTAATGAGAACGCGGCGCAAATGGTATCACACTGTACGACAGGGCAAAAATACGGAGAAACAAAATGGCCGCACTGAACAATCCAAACTTTTTCTTGTCTTTTTTTTTTTCGTTTTTCAGGCTTGAATTTTATAGACACAAACTTTTAAGCGTGACATATACTTTTTGTTGGTCACTAGGAAACTCTTAAGTGGTTCGGTTCGTGTTGTTTTTGTAGTTCGCGTACTCCTTATGCGATCGATACAATGCGCAAATATGGCCGCAGGATGAATTTTACAAGCTAAAAAGTGAAATCTTAGTGGAATAATAAATGGTTCATCGTATAATACGAGCGGACATTTGAGTTGCTCATTGCTCCTATTTTACTCGCCCCCTCAGGGCTCGGAAAATGCTGCGCAACTCGCAAAACATACGTGCGTGTTACATGTTAAACCACTGAATAAGGTGTATGTAACAAACTTTAAACAAATGAATTACCCTAGAGTTTCTTTTCCCAACCCGTCTCATACCCGCATTTTGCGGAGGGTTTCCAGCGTCCATCTTTGCAACAGCAAGCACCATCAGAAAAAGAACACAAATCAGTTTTTTGTCCATGTTGACCGTTTGTATTCTGCTTTGACAGGATTCTCACACAGGCTTCTTGGCTCTGCAAAAAGCGTTTTGTGAAGAGCTGAGCGCTGATGTACAATTGCCTGCAACTCAAATTTATAATGAATTTGTTGCGACTTACAGTTTGACTTCTGTGACGAGGAACTTACCGCTGAAGATGCTTCACCAAGACGACTGAAACATCGCCGTATTTATAACTGTTTCAAAAAGCCAAGAAATTGATTATAACAAATCAGTGCCTCTTTGAGACGTCAAGTTGGCGCCCTATAAATTATGAACGCGCTAATTGTGATTAAGTTTATCGTATGAAACAAATCTTGAAATTGACAGTGAAAATAATCACAACAACATCAGGCACCACTAATACTGTTTTAAATTGTTTTCAAGTTGAACGCTTGCAGACGCGTATCATGAGTTAGAATTCATCAGTGATTGTTTAGTTGACGCTCAACTTCCTCAAACCAATTTTTTGCCAGACCACTGCCTAAAATGTGACCATGCAACATGGATGGATTTTAGCACGGATTATGAAGTTCTGAAAGTCTGGTCATTTGAACAGAGTTTAAATGTTAGCGGCACCCAATTCAACCTCAATTCAAACCAAACATTTTACTTACAAGTTGAAATTTGTGAACAGTGTCCAGTAAGCTTAAAAAAATCCATTTATCCTAAAGTCGAGGCATAAGTTAGACTCCGATTACGCAGCCGACCTTAAGTTTTTATTTAATCTACTCGTACAGAAAAAGTTGAATCAAGAGGAAACGTGAGAAAGATTCTTTGCGATCCTTTCAATTATTTGAAAGAACAATGTAACAGATAAACAACAATCAGTTTCTTCTTTGCCATAAAATGGCCTCATTCGCATCAAAGCGTTTCTGCAACTTTCCGTTTTCTTCCGAGTCAAACCAAATCGAAATTTTAATAAAGTTTTCGTATCGTTTTTTAGCTGTCCTCACAAAAGAGTTCTCATTTCAGAAAGGTTTCCTTTTCGAGCATCTCTGCTCATTCTTTATTAATGGTTATGTCACACTAGGAGCAGTACCATTCTTCCACGGCGCTTTTACGTCTGTTTCCATACTTAGATTCATTCTAATGAAACTTTTCACTCCTCATTTCAATATAAATATATCGTTACCAATCGATTAATTATTCAAATTTGACTTAAGTGATATTGAGATCCTTGACATCGCCGAAACGTCTTTTTTTATTCTCAAACGTATTGAAAATATCTGTTTCACCTGTCTACCTTAGAAACCCAGCGTTCTAGAAACGACGCGTTTTCAAACGACGCCTCTTTGAAGTCCGTTTTCGATATGTTACGGCTTTTGTCAACCTTCTCCGTTATAGAGGATAAACTGAAAAGCATGAACATTTGTGGGTTTGTAAACGAGTACGCAGTCGTGTAGTTGGAAATGAACGAAGGCTTTTTTTTTCAGTTTTCAAACTCCTTTGTTCTCTGGGTGAACAGAAGAACCAGGCAAAGAAATGATTCTCGTTTTGAATAATCAAAAACAACAAGGACAAAAATAGTCCAGGAAAAACTTAGAGTAGATCGAAAATTGTATTGCTAAGAGGAAAAGTCGCGCGTTCATTTTAGTTCCTATGATGAAGTCCATATTTTTCCTTTTATTGCGATACAAAAAACATTTCCGCCTGTTTTGCGAGGAGAGGGAAGACGATGAATGGTGAAATAGCTGAGAAAATTGGACAATCCCGTTCAAAACGTCCTCCTATCTCGTTTCCCTTTCTTGTAGAAAAAGGCAGAAACAAGGGAACCTATTTTGAAAATGAATACGTTCTTTAAGGTGAGGACAGCTGAAAGCGATACGGATCTAGTTGTTATTTGCTTTCAAAGCTCAAGTTTGATTAGCTTCAGTAAAAATAAAACGTAAACAGTAAAACAAACATTGACGTGGTTAAGCTCTTTTTTAACATTGCCAAGAAGGTAGATTTTCATGAAAATGAATCGCAAAGATTGTATTGAGTCTTTTTTACTTTATATCATGATATTTGATACTCTTCCTTCTTAAATGATTTAAATTATTCCCTGTGTAAATGCTTTAGAAACAATTTAGTCTCAGACTTAAGGCGAAAAAGTGACATAATTTTTTTGGATTGCTGGAAGAAAAACATGTGACGTTTTTCTAGAATCGGTCATCCGCCTCTACAATGCTCACTGATTTCAGCGTGTAGATAAAACGCTTGGCTAAATTGGAGAGGGTTTAAAACAGTGTTATGTTAAACAGTGAGAGAGCCTAAAATATTTTTGAATGAAAGGACTTTAGAATTCCATGTTCAAAGTAAAAATCTATTAATGTCTACTAGCTTTTAAATAAATGTTCAAGAGTTTAACTTTCGATAAACATTTTACGACTCCTTTTTAATGATGCGTGCAAGCGTTTAGCTTTAGAACTATTCAAATCGGTATTAATGGTCCGTTTGGGTTCGTAGTAATGATTTTTAATGTCAATTATAATCTTCTATATACAACAAATATGATCACCATTAACGCATGAATTATTTCTAGGGCGCCAACTGAACGTTTAAGGGTAACACTGATTGTTCTATCACTAATTTCGTGGCTTTTTAAAACGTGTATAAATGCAGCCTTCATTCAGTAGTATTGTTGGTCTCCTTTTTCAGTCACTAAGAAAACATTTTGATTCTCGTCTGAGAAGTCAAACTGTGAGAAGAGAGATTTCTTCATATAATTTAATTCTCGTGTATCATATCTAGATTCTTCACAAACCGCTTTTTCAGAACTAAGAAGTTCGTATTAGAATCCTCTCAAACAGGAGTGAAACGGCTGCAATGGACAAAAAAGTGTTTGCTTTGTGTTTGTGATGTTTTTTGTTGTTGCAATGGACGCTGCAATTAATGTAAGTCTGCCGAAGTTTAATGGACACAAACGGGTGGGGAATAATTTAGCTGTACCATTTTTGTTAGTTAAATTGTTTTCTGTCATCAGAATTAAGGACAAAAAAATTCTCAAGAGATTGCCAACAGCAACAGCTGACAAGAAAAGAGCACGTTTATCATCGAGCGATCGAGAAACTTACAAGTGTGGTGTAAGACTTTCACGACTTCAGTTGTGGACTGCTTTGAACTGTATTCCTTTGAGAGAATGGCGGAAGTAAGTGCAAGGTTGGAGCAACATTTCCTTTTTAATTGTAATGACAAATCAGTGGCCATGAGAATATCGCCAAACAAGTAGTAGGATTAACGATACAAAAAAAAATATTGGCTCAAAAAATTTCTTACAGAGTGCATTTGATATCTGGCGACCGAAGAGTTAGCTTAGTGCTGTCTTAGAACGGTACATGACTTAATTTAATTATTCTGAGCAATAAATTATAACGGAAGTGTTAGATAACCTCAGCTGCTTTAACTTCGCTCCTTTAAGCGCGCACAAGGTTAGAACAATTGTTTCCCGTTAAGCACAATTACAGTGAAGTGACGGTTTGATCTTCGCCAGACGAATGACTTGATTATTAGTATTGATTGAAGCAAATTTTAATTGAGTGTCCTTGAACCAGAACCAGATAAATTACAAATGCTATTCAGAAACACCTCATGGCAAATTTTCGCGAAGAATTCTTTTCGCATCCTTGAGGAAGTAGAAAGTCCATGTAATGATCTTTATCATTTTCACTATTTTGTATCTGTTGATTCAAAAACCTTTTAACTGTAAACAATGCTATCTACTTCAAAGTTTGAGTTCGAAAAATTTTTTCCGATTATACGCCTCCCTCCCAGGAAGGTAAGGGAGGAAATAGAAGAGGAACAAACGAAACTCAAGTATTTCAGCTTGGAGTTGGATCCAACCTCTCTATCGTTAAAAGTTTTAGTTAGTTAGACAAGGTTTCATATTTTTAAACTTTTATTTAAGATTGCTTGGGCTACATTTGCTTAATAAATCGAACAGACAATTCTAGGGCAGTACGGTAAAAGTAATTAAAGTGAGATATTTGTTCTCAGGAAGTTGCATAGTCCTTTGGAATTGATGTTTCAGCGCAATGTTTTCATTTGTCAAATTTGATCCAAGTGTTTCGTCGAATGTCATCAGTTTTGAAGCCTCAGATTCTTCTTGTTGGATGAGCGTCCAAATCTTGGCCAGTGATATTCGTTTCCTCCGAGGGTAGCGACAGGAAGCTTTGATAACCTAATATCTCCTGAGAAAAAGTATAGGAAATTGACAGCTATCGCTAATTATATGTTTTGTGAACGAATGAAAGTGGATTCAAAGCGGAAACAGAGCGTCGACTTAGAAATTGTACTTTTTTCCCTTCTAACTTCTGACTGGTAGCCGCTAATAATTAATAAACGGTCTGCGAAACCTGTAAAGGATTGAAAGCTATGCATGTTACTCTGAGTCTGGTTCCCAGTTCAAAACTCTCCCCCTTCTGGACAACTTTAATTTGTTCATTGCAGTCTCTTCTCTAAATGCCCGCGCCACTTTGAGGAACAGTTTCCAAGTTCTGCCAGTTTTTTATGCTTTGCTTTGATTTCAATCCGTAGCTTTTACCCCTGCCTTTTGCTTTTTCATAAATTCGACTTTGATTTATCTGTTTATTTATTAATTTACTTATTTACTCATATATTTATTTGTTATATTTGTTATTTCCTATTTATTAGTTATATTTTGAAACTGCCTTCAGCTGGCACACCGATCACAGAATCCTTCGACGTCAATTTAACCATACATGATATCGTTGTGATAAAAATATAACATTACATGATCTTCTGCAATGTTGCTTTTACGACCCTGGAATTTCTGGCAAAACCTATTTCTTAGCATTTTTTCAAGAATATAGAATGTGGCAAGAGGTTTTTCCCCCGGATATGCTCAAGTACTGGTTACCAATCTAAAGGCATTTTAGAACATGAAATAAAATGATGTACCTATCTGTCGTTCCAGTTGTACATTAGGGCCACCTTTCTCTGTGAACTCGGACGAGTCTTGCGTCCTTTTCCCATATCGCAAACCCGCAGCAAATGCAGCTGTTTCTTTCACCAGACTGAACGAACAGATTAGAAGAACAGACAAAACTAGTAAAAATTCTATTCGGACCATTCTTTTCGGGTAAATTTCCCTACTTGGGGGTGATATTAGTGAAAGTTCTCTACTGTGAATATTGACGAAGAAACACAACGGTCATTTTATAAAGTTCAGAAATAAAAGCGGATTTGTTTCAAAAAGCACGATTTAATTTGAAAAAAGGTGAAAAAAATCTTCAAAATCTGATTAAACTTTAAGATTTTAGTTTTCTTCACTTCTCAGTTTGTTTAATTAAAGTTCAAAATAAGTTAGTTAGGTTGAGATCGGATCACTTCATGATCATCAACAGGATCATGAAACTTTTCACTCCCACGATCAGTACATTGCCAAGCAAACAAGAAAGTGATGATAAGAGGAAAATATCATCAAGGGGATATTGTTTAATGAAAAAAAAACCGCTAATATTGAAGGGAAGTTTTAAGAAAAAATAAGGAGAATGACTGATGGATACCAAGAGTGAAAGGCTGAAATAAAATTTTCTGCGGTAAATGACCACGAAAAATTGGAGAACAGTTGCAAGCTTTGAAATAACTAAATCACACTCAGACACACACAAAAAATTTCCTCCTCTCCGCGCTAAGAAAGAAGAAGAGCATGCTTGAGTGTACATTGATACTAGCATCATGATCCAGATGCTCCGATGAACACATGCGCGGTGAACTGTAGCAGACGCTTTTAATATTCTATCTTCGGGGGTAGAAACTGATTTCTCTGACATGTAGTCCGTTGTATCTGTCTTAAGATCATGAATATATAAAGTTCAAAGTTGACCGAGTAATTTCAACGCGTTTTGCTAATTTCCAGGTAGGGTTTATAATTCCTTTAGGCGAGCCGACAAGGGTATTGAAAATGCTAAGCAGATCTATAAACGTCGTGCTGGTAGCAAAGTGTTGCAAGATAAGTCAGACTTTTTACTGAGGTGTAAGGTAGGAGGGCAATCATTGAAATACGAAGTTTCCCGTTCGTTCTTGCCAGCTTACTCTGGAAAATATGAAAATATCATCTAGAAAATTTCACATATTATTCAATCAACAGGAAAAACCAACAAATTAGTAAGGGGGAACTTGTTTTGCATAGGTTCGTAACGCGTGCGTACAGTAAAGAAAAAAAACTTTTTCTATATAATGTATTGTATCTTTATTAGATATCACTCTCTAAGAACAATCACCGTGCAATAATCATCGTATCTAATTAGCCTTCTGTACGATAGAGATATGCTTATCTGGAACGCATGATTGTTAATAAGCGAGATAGGGCGGCACTGTGGAAAAAGTTTCATAAACCCACATCGGATGTTGCTGGAGAAAAATAAATCGTTTTCAAGGTGGTTGAGATTATCTGATGCAAATGAAAGATTATACTGAGAGACAGAAAGAATTTCATTTCCTACTTAGCTAAAAGTTTTTAAAAATATCCGCCTGTTGTATTTGGGAGCATTTACTGTCCAATTCAACCTCTATGAAACATCAAAACGTCCAAACAAGTGGTTTGAAACTCATCGTAAGAGGAACGTGCTTAATAATCGTGAACTTCTAAAAAAAAAAAAAGAAATTGGATCGTAGGACTAATCCGTGTACCATATTACGCGTTAGGATAAACTCTTGTTAATCCATTTATCTCAACAAAAATTGTCTTACATATTGAATGAAATATTTATGTTGTTAGAAACCTCTCTAGCCATGCAATGAAGATCGTTCTTCACATATCCATCAGATTTGAGTTGAATTCGGCTATTTTGATTGGGAATTTGATTCAGCCTCGTTGGTATTAAAAATTTATTTTTTCCGTCAGAATACCTTGAGCTCTCAGGAAAAGAAACTCTAATAAAAGTGGTTTAGCAGCAGCTGTCATGAAAACCCTTAGGCATCAAAATTAAACAAAAATGTAATTTTCGCAGGAAGGAAGAATGCCTGTATTTTAGCCTATACAACCATTTGAATAAAAAAAATAAAACATTGAAGTTTTATTTGGAGATACAACAAGTGGGGGATGAATATAACAAAGCATCAATTCAATTTTCAGTTGAGATATCAAAAGAGGTCGAATAAATTTAGGTATGTTTGATTCTTTTCGATACATCCAGGAAGACTTTCCATGATTTCCGTGAGCTGTATTATTAATTCATGACTTAACGCCGTAGGTGGCTGATGTCGCCGTCGGTGGGTTGCAACAGAAATATCATCTCACAAGAAGTGGTAGGCATCTAGTGCTGTGGGCGGATACACGAAGATGAATCAAGCGGCTTCTTTAATGCGATGAAATGGTGATGAAATTAAACTCTGTTGCTTATCGAAAAAATACCTTTTCGGAACTCCGAGAGCCTGCGGCGATTGGGCAAAAAGCTTTAAGAAAGAGTTGAATTAGTTTCAATTCGTCACAAAGAGAAAGCATCTGCTGATTGGAAAGTTAAATCGCGTTGGCTTCATTTTACCAAAATGGGAGCGAAATTCCTGAGCTTCGTTTTCTTCCTTTTGTTTTTATCTCCAGCCATGGCATATTTAGGGAGCTACCGGTTTGGCAAACGCAACTTGGTGGAGAAGGTAGCTATTACAGATTAACGTTCTTTGAATCCATTGTAATATTGATGCATGATGTAAATCATCTTCGAAATCAGCTTTAATACACCTACATCCTTCCTTGTACATTAATCGGATTTGATTCTTGCAAATCGAAAGACTTGGGACAACATCGTTATTTTTTTTAGAAGGAAAACAAAGCGACATCATGTGAAGGATTAAATTCTTCTTAAAATAAATCTTACGGGAAGTTATTTACGATGAGTGAACATGGGGTTAGAGTCAAGTTAAGGTCAGCGAAACTCAGCAGGATTATAAGGAACTGGAGCTAATATAGGTTTATTAAAGAAAATTGGATGGTAATTCTTCAAATTTACTTTACGTCTAAGTAGCGGAACAGGAGAAAGGATGGGAAAAAAAAAACATGGAGCGAATGTATGCACTCTAGTCCTCTTTCCACTAAATTCATTAAATCGGCGTCTTTAGCTTGTTTGCTACCAAGTAATAACTCATTCGATTAATTCAGTCTCTCTTTTTTAAACGTTCATATGATAATCTTAAGACGCAGGTGTCTGTTAGATGGTATTTAGCATTACGGAGGCTGAGTTGAAACTCCCCTTTGACTTCATCAATCCACGTGTAATTAAATTAAACACTTTCCCTTATCGGAAAGTCCCCCGTTTCTCAGCGTGAGACTCGGAACGCCTGCGGCGAAGGGGAAAAGAAGGTTTAAAATGGGTCGTAAATGTTTGTGTTCGACACATGGTGAATCTGCTTCAATTCACAATCTAGTTGGCAAGTGTATCTTAAGCATGACAACAAAATTCCCTAGTTTGATTTTACTTTTCCTATTTTTATCGTTAACAATGGCATTTTTACCAAGCATACGGCATGGTAAACGCGGCTTGCTACAAGAGGTATTTACTGGCATTTAGGTTTAATTTAATGTCCAATCCTAAATTGTTTTCAATTTAGGAGTACATAACTTCGTAATCTTTGCTGCGGCGACATGTTTACTCAAGGTAGCCGCATCATTTAGTGAAACACTTTATCACTGTCGAAAGGTGATTCTGCTAAACCATCATCTTCGTTAATTTGTGAACTATAGGAAATGTAACTCGTTTAAGGATTCTGAAAAATGATTTAAAGCTTAATGATTTGTAACAAAATATGTTTGTTTTTCTTCACCGGCTATTTGGTTAGATAGATCTGTCTTCATAACGTGGCGTTCAAATTTATCAAAATGGAAAATTTTATATTTGGACACGGTCTAAATTAGATTGTTTGTTTTTTCAATCTTGAAGTGATCACATCTTTTTTTCTAATACATATACTTTAAGTCTTTAATTGAATCGTATAAAACATAGAAAACATATAGATACTCACTCAATATGCGAACAATTTATATTAGGTAATATTACTTCTGTCTGGTACAGAGATTCTTAGCGTTTTCTTAGCTTTTGTGTAGGTTGAAAGATTGTCATTGTCTGTATTTGACTTACGCTGGTTTTTACAGATTTGTTTCATAACGTCATTAATGTTGATAGCTCTACTCAGAAGAATGCTCTATAAATTTGATATTTTTTTTTTAAGCGAACAAATTACGAAAGTACCATAAAAAGCGATTCAGTGAGCGTTGTTTCGGTCCGAAAGAAACCTTCATTTGATATGATCCTTTTCTCGTTTTGCGTGTGAATTGGATTAGCTTGTTGAAAGGGATTAAGAATTTTAATACATAAGATGATTGAAGCGATCCTTTTAAATTCAATTTAATCAATCGCTACCGAGTCATATTCCTCGTCTAACAGTTTCACATTTTGATCCTCTGAAGTCCCTCAACAAACTGGCGAGGAACTCAACGAAAGGTCAAATTAGTTTTCTTCCATAGCGATACAGTCATCGCGTTTGGCTGATACCAAAATTCTCTTGCGGTGATCACTAACATGGATTCAAAATGTTTGCCTTTAATTTTTCTTTTGCTCTTTTTAACATCAACGATGGCATTTTTAGCAAACGTTAGCCATGGAAAACGAGATTCAATACGAAAGGTACTTATTGAGAAGTCTAACTCAATATCCTAACGACAGTTTATTTTTGTAAAAAGCTCCAGTTTGTCTCCATTTCTCTATTTACTTCTAAATTTCACTTAAAAAAATCCAAGTAACTAAGAATTGATAAGCGCATCAAACACAAAAAGCAATTCCGATATTCTTACTGAAAATCAAGGCAATCTCTGGTAATTACTACACGATACGCTGTTGGTTTGAATTTCAATGTTTGTCTATGAAAGATAAAAGGTAAAAAGGTATGTAAGATAGCCCGGTGTTTTTCCTCCTTCTCCACTCTTACAAGGCCATTTAGTTTCAGTTATGTTAAAACATCAGTTGTGCGCAATTTCCTTTTTGAACACTAGGTGATAATCTTCCGGCAGCAAATTGCGAATTCGTTTGTTTTTGTTCTTGTTTGATCGTTTGTTTGTTTGTTTTTACTTTTCGACGACGTTCTTTTTTTTTTGGTCAAAGGTACGTAGCTTCACGCTTTAAAATTTTTTTTAAATGAGTGATAGTGTTAAACATACATGAAAGGAAAATAACTCAAAGGAAAACAAAAGAAAAAAAGAAGCCGTTCTGCTGAAGTGAAATCATTGGCATTTACCATTACAAAAGAGTTCTTTAAGTTTATTTTTGCTCTTTGTTGTTGCCTCAATCGTCTTTCTTAATCTTTTTACGCCCTAACATCAGCATGAATATTCTCCATACTGTTCTCTAAGCAGCTGACAAAGAAAATTTGTTTAACAACCAATCTATATTCTGGTGTGTGAATGATTCGGAGGTGATTTTATAAGGAGACATTGGATGCTCGCCTCTTAGGGGTCAAAAGGGTTTAACTCGTTGAAAACTGAACATAGGTTCACTCTTTTTTCAAAATAAATGGATACGTTGGAAAATACTTTAGCGATGCAATGTTTTAAAGAAGAAAAAGGCTCTTTTTCGTATTAAAGCTGAAAGAAATATTCTAGAGGGTTGGTATCGTAACAAAGTCACCACATGTATAATTATGTGTGAATTAACTTTTATGACCCTTTTCTCTCTGTCTTCTTGTTTTTAAGGCTAATGCACAGGATGACTTCAAGCAATTTTGCCAATTAGCCGAGAAGCTCTGTCATCAAAAGACTGAATCCATATCCGTGGAAGGAAGCCATCATTTACCAACAATTGAAAAAAAACGTACCAACGATAAAAACCTGTTAGGACCAGCGGTAGAGAGGCGATGAGGATACGCTATGACTTCAGTTTTGATCTAAAAGAACTTAACAAACTCTAAAACAATATGACATTACTATATTTTGGTTTTTTATTGTAATATTTCAATTAGATATATTACTGCTACGCGAAAGATGTTCAAATAAATCAGCATTTATTTTAAAAGGGGAACTAGACCAGTGTGAATTTCAGTGTATATCGGATTTTTTGGTGCCCGCAATAAAAATTTGCGTCATTATGTATTTAGCGATAAGCTAGATTTCACAGTGTTGAGTCTTCTTTGATGGTTGTTCTCTTACTATCTGAAATAAAATTGGAATAAAGCGTTAGAACATGCAGTGTTTTATAGAGAAGAATCCAATATGATTTCTCATTCAAGGAAAAAGAACAAGTGCTTTTTCTTCACCGCTTTTATCTTCCGAAAAGGATAAGTTACACCAGGTGTTTTAGACCAATTAAATAATGGGGGTCTCCTGCTATAAAGTCTGTAGAGAAGTAGGCCTACGAAGCCTTTCCGGGTGCCACTGTTATTAAAGAGCCTTACCTTAAAACTGAAGCCAATACACAATTATCAGAATATGAAACAAAGCGCTATGTATAATGTGTTAACCAGAGAATACCATTGCGTCGCTCAGTCGGAGAGAGAAGATGACTTAGCAATATTAAAAGATACTGCAAAACTTCAAAACTGTAGGGCATCTGGAACACTGTAAGCGCTGCTAGCATGGACGATCATGAACTTGCCGTTGCGAAATGGATCGGAAAAATGTTAAATTTTAGTTCAAACTGAGAAGAATCTATGCTGTCTGGTGAGACGAGATTCCACTTAAAACTTCACGCAAAAAAAACAATTGTCGCACGAATTACGAAGTGACTAGTTAAGGTGGATTTCTTAGGTGGCTGGGAGCGTAATACTTCCTAAGTAGGGGCGTAGACATGATTGCTGAAAGAAGGGGGGTGGAGGCCCACCAGATTATAATGTCGACTTCCATGCCGTGTTTTACTTTGAAAAAAAAAACGTTTACAAAGGGGGAGGGGAGAGGGAGACTAAAGGACCCCCCCCCCTGCAACGCCCTTGCTTCGTCGCACAATTCGCATTACACATGCCTAATGCTCATGCCAGTGTATCTAACAGACCCTGTGGTTACAAAAATTTATTTTTCTAATTTATTTATTAACTCTGCAGACTCGTCATGCGAATTCACGGATAATGAGTAATGCAAATAACTGGGCTGCACCAGGAAACGAATCAAATCTTCGAGTACCGAGTAATAATGCCACGGCTGGGATGAGTATAAGTGTCGCCAGTGAAAACATTCAGACAGGAAAGACGTAAGGAAAGTGAAATCTTGACGATGGTGCTGCACTCGCTATCGACGATGTTTAAGAAAAAATGTATGTACAATTGGTGACCTAGTTTTAAGACCGTGTCCATGAGAGCACCAGGCAGTCGTGCTACATACCATCTCACCGATTTCAATGAAACTTTGCCAGTTTAAAGGGTCTACTCCAAAACTCAAAAAGACAAACTGGTTTCTGTTTTGGTTTTTTCCGGGGGGTGATAAGACCGTGTGGTTTTAGACTTTTCGATTCATCCAAATATTTGACAACTTTGAGGTCAAATATCTCTCCTTGCCAGAAAGCTACAGCACTAATCTTGATTCCCCTTTATAACCTATCATTTCATCTCTGAAAATCATCAAAAAAATCGTTGGGCACTACCGTATTTTTGTCTTGGATGCCTTTTAAAATCTGCGACTGTGACAAGTTTCTCTCCGGTCACTTGACCAAATAAACCTACATTTTTCAGCTCTTTATTCAAGATGATTGATCAAGACAGGTAAAAAGTGTGAAGAGATTTTATGTAGGAATGGAAAATTTTACGTTTAGAGAGATGCATGTAGGCAAAAAATCGATGAGAAAATAGTATCGTTTCTTTATTCTGTCGTTTATTACTTTGGAGATTTGCTAAAATCAGCAAATGTGGCTTTTGTACGGCACAAAACATTCATAAGTCCATAATTTGATTGTTTATCATCATCATTGCTCATTTTAGGAGATTTTAAAGTCACAAGCTGCGTGTTGATTGACATTATTAAAATATATATGATATAAGATATGCCTTAAATATCGTGTACAACTTGGTGTAAGATTCAGACCTTCGGGTTCGTAAATGCCAGTATCCTCCTCATAAAAATCGGAGACGTAACGTTGAGAGAGAGGTGAATCTGAAGATGGCAGAAGAAATCAAAGCTAGTGGCTAGTCTTCCTAGTGGCAAGGTGACTGTAAACCTAATAGAACTGCGTACTGGTGATTTGTGACTGAGATGAACTTTATATCATATGATTGCTAGGGATACGCTGGTACTGTATAGGCGCTCACATAAATAGAGGTGGGCGATCCTTCCTCTGACTTTAGAACT